CCCCCTGCGAACGAACCCGGGCCGAGTGGGCCTGGTTGATCTGGTGGCGAGCATCATTGGCATGAAGGGGTGCCTTGCCTTTGTCCCGAGGGGGACGCTCCTCGTCTGCCCTCGAGACAGACCCTCCACTTTCCTGAGGCCTTTGGAGTGCCTTTCCTCCGAGGCGGTCTTGGACCCCTCGGCGGTCTGGCCCTCCTCCGAGCCGGTTGAGGGCGGAAGTGCGGGGCCTCTCCCTGTTGTCATTGTGGCGATTCCGGGACTGTACTTCCTGGGAGGACGTGTCCTGGGCCACTACCCCTTCGTCGTTCCTCACCCGAGGGGTGGGATTTCCGAAGGGGTGTGGTGGAGGGGGAAGTATGATGTTTTTCCCAGCCTGGGGGTGAGCCGGAGCCAGGGTGCCGAAGGCACCCGGGTTCTGAGTGAGCGTCTGGATGAAGGCGGAGAGCGCCGATTGCACGTCGATGGTGAGAACCGGAGGGCTGACTTGGTCATCTCTCCGGTTTTTCTTCTTGGCCTCGATGCCGAGGCGGGCATCGGGGGCATTTTGTTGGATCTGAAGGTGTAAGTCGACAGCCGTCTGTTCCAGCCCAGCGATGACACCGCCCTCGGGAGCCCTGTGAGAGGCTTCGGGGGCGTTGACGTCGCCGAGGGCCAGGTTCTTGTCTTCTACGTTCTTTGAGTTGGCACATGTTGTTCTCACCATTTTAGTAGAGGGCTAGTGTTTTGGCGAAGGGGGAGGTTTTCTTACTCGATTGTTCGACCTCTCAACGAGAGCACCAAATGATGGATAGTCTACCCGGGGGTATATATCCGAAGGGTTATTGCGGGGAGTAACTTAGAGAGAAGTCAGAGCAAGTAAATGTAGAGAGAGAGAGAGTGTATTATAAATGTGGAGCGTTTTCAGCGTGGTTACAAATGGGGAAATGGGGTGCTATTTATAGTAGCAATAAATGCCGGACAGGGACACGTGTCAAGCGCTCATTGGCCGAGGGGTCACCTCAACTGGTTGGCGCTGGCAGCCGCATGTGGCCGCATTTAATGCGGCTGTTGGATGGGATGTCTGTGCAGGGTACGGTGATCTGTACGCATGTGAGGCGGATATCTTGTCGAGTGAGATGCCTTCGGCTATAGAGCAGTAGCTGAGGGCTCCTCCAACCGATGGCACCCTGGTGCCGAGGGCTCACAGTGCCGAGGGCTACTGTTTTCGCCGTTTTCTCCCAGTTTCGTCATTTGCTTGAGAAACCCGTTCTGTGAGAGTTTAGAGCCTTCGGCCAGGGGGCCGAAGGCACCCCTGGCACGTAGTGCGGGCTGCTTGGTACTCTGGGCGCTGTGATTTGGGCCTGTTGGGCCTTCTGGGCCTGTTGGGCCTTCGCTGGAGTAGTAGGATTCTGTGGGCCGGGGGTTCCCGTGCCATATACTCCATCAGTATCCATCAGTATATGAAAGAGTCTTATTATGGACAATTTTCTCGTTTAAACTTATCACTTACTTCATCCCAGTTTAAAGTTCTCATTTTTTCTTTTTTGAAAATCCGGGCTAAAGGTTCTCATTCCTATTTCAAAACATAATTAGCAATGTTAAATAATAATTTAACTATCAAATATTAAAAAAAATAAAACCATAACATTTTGTTATGATCAGTGACTTCATTATATTATAGATCCATTAAAATTACTTCTCAAAATACACTCAAATTACCTTATTTAATTACTATCTAATTAAGCGTGCCATTTTTCATCGGGAATCTTAAGCTGAAATGAAAGTAGTATATCATATATTATAAATCTTAGATTGTTTAGTCACACATGGATATATTTCCCTAAACAAAGTGCCAATTCCTAAAATAATAAGAAGTGATCAATTTTTATATTTGAGAGAAAATCTTCACACAAACTCATGACTTGGATCGAATTAATAGATGTATAGTATCAACCATGTGGTGATTGTAATATGGGATAACTATTACTAGTAAATAGTTTCTCATACTACTATAAAATCATAAAATAAGCTCTTTGTACTCGTAAATCATCAAATCAAATTCATGAAGTTCAAAAAACACTCAATTGAGTGTATTAGGCTATAATCCCCTGTTACCTAGTTGTTCTTTGACGTTAACATGCACATGGAGCTAGAAGGTGATTTAATACTAATATAAAATTTTACGCATGTTTTTTCGTATTAGGTAATAATGTTTCTCTCCTCAATGGCTCAATCCCACCCCCCACACCTTAGCTCTATATACTTATCCCCTCTTTGCCATCCACGTTAACTCTTCCATCTCTCTGGTCGCGAGCTTCATTTACACATTCCCTAGAAAACCAGTGGCATCTTCTTCTCTATCAAGAGATAGAGAAGAATGAAGTTATATTGTACATTACGAGTCTTCAGTTTATTGTTAGTGTGGATTGAAATCCCTTTTTTGTGTTGTACGAGATGGCGGGAAAACTCTAAAGAATTTTAAGTCTTTCACCCTAAAATCTATTTGATGCGTTTTATCTTGCACATGGCACCCTATCCCTAAATCCTTGGATACATTCTTTGATGACACTCAAGTCATGTACTCAAGAGTACATTTCCCTACATAATTGGATATGAAGACTCCTCCAACTTGAATTTCTAAATTTGGAATTCTTGTTAAGGAGAGTAGTCCTAACTTGCTTGAAGAGAGTGGTGCATCCTTAAGAATAATCCAACTCACTTCCTCCTATGAAATACACTTCTTGATGTCAATTCTACCTATACGCAGGGTCGGCCCTGGGCAAGGGCAGGCCGGGCTTGTGCCCCGGGCCCAATATTTATAGGGGCCCATAGTTTTATACATATCCATATATATATATATATATATATATATATATATATATATATATATATATATATATATATATATATATATATATATATATATATATATGGAGCTCTTCCCGGAAGATTTCTTCGATGAATTTTTTTGAGCATGTTTTTTCATCAACTGTATATCAATTATATGCCCAAAGTTTCAACTTGAAGTTCAATCGGGATGTCGGTTAAATAAAATATTGAAACATACCACGCTTTATGTATATAAATAGTGCACATTATGTTTCAATAATTTATTTAACTTACTTGCCGGTTGAATTTTAATATGAAATTTGGTAAATATAATCTACACTTGATGAATAATATGCTCAAAAAAATTAACCAAAAAGTTCCATCCAGAAGTACTTGTTAGTCACTTATATGGAGTCATTAATCGAGATGTCTTTTATACGAAGTAAATTAATATATACAAATAATATATGACTATTCACATACGAAGTAATTGTTAGTCACTTCTCCACTCCCCTTGTTCAATTATTCCGAAATTCGAAAATTAAGCTCTCAAGTTTGAAGTTTTCATCTTTGGACTTTAGTTCGGTTCGATCAGCAATTAACACCATGCACTACTCTCCTAATTTCCTCAAGAATATCTTCCAAAATAGAAATTTCAATAAAAGAGGTAATTCCTCAAAAAAAATTATATATATCTATAATTTTCATTCTTTTAGTTCATACAATCGTATATTTTAAGACTTTGATGAAAGAATTACATTACTTTGTATGCTGAAATTTGTGTATATATAGTTAGGTTTTTTCAAAATATTTATATAACCTTTTAAGGCGAGAGCCTTTTTTTCATATTGCCCCGGGCCCATAAAATGTCAGGACCGGCTCTGCCTATACGTCACTATGAAAGTCTCTTTAACAAATGAAGAAGTTGAAAAACTTTCAACTCTATTTAAGCGTCATAAGTAGATTATTGTCAATACTCTTGAAGACTTAATACACATAATTTCTTTTTATTGCACGCGCCGAATATGTCTATGCCGAATGGGTAGGGTGGTGGCAGGGGTTGGGGTTTGGGTAAGGTAGGGTGGGGTGGGATGGGGTAGGCAGGTGGGTAGACGAGTTAGGGATAGGGTAGGGTAGGGGTAACGGTAAAGGGGTGAGTGCAAGGAGTAATGGTAAAGATAAATTTAGAAACTTAAAAAGCTTAAACTGCTGCTTAATTAATACATGATGAAGGAGGTATGCTTAGTAAGCGATACTTTAAGCATCTGTTTAGTTTAGTAAGCAGCCGATGCATTTGTATTGATACATCGGAACTTAAATAAAAAAGAAAAAGAAAAGCACTAACAAGATTAATTAAACTCTAAGAGACTCGAGCCCATTAGCATCCTCCCAAAGAATTTGTTTGATCCAAACTGGTGCAAAGTGTAACACTGTAAGACCCTTAGGAGCTTTGTGGGCTGCATTCGCAAGTCTATCAACACATTTGTTACCTTCTCGAAAGATGTGCTTAATTTGAATAAAGCGCCCGTCTTCAAGTAATATTTGGCAATCATGAATTACGACTCCAATGTGAGCACCATGCTTGTTATGTACGTTCTTGATTGCCTTAATCACACCTTCTGAATCAATCTCCAGTGTGATCCACAAGTCTAGTTCACGAGTAAGCAGCAAACCCTGACATAATCCCCAAAGTTCTACTTTAAAGCAATCAACTTTTCCGATATTAATAGTGAAGCCAAGGATCCACTCTCCTTTGTGATTCTGAATCACTCCGAGCAAGCCAGTGTATTTAGTTCACCTGTTTAGTAACTAAATGTCTTACTACCTTTGTCCCACTATATTTGGGACAAAGGGGTGTGACACTACTTTTAAGAAAAAGTGGAATTGTGTGGTTGATATTGAATTGATAAAGTGTGAATAAAGTAAGAATGAATTGTAACCATCCAAATTTTACCAAATATGGTATGAGATAAACTTAATGGGATAGACGAAAAAGGTAAAACGAGAAAAAGTTAGGGGGACAAAGGGAGTACTAAACACGTCTGTAGACTTGGTTAGGTAAAAAAAAATGGTTACAAAATTGGTAAAGCAGTGACAAACATGGATGAAGAATCCTTATGGTCTATGGAACTCAAACAATGGAGTTTTTTTTGAACCAGAACTGAATATCTTTATCAATTTAATAAGTCATTCGCCACCTAGCTTACAATACAATCCCGAATAAAGTTGTAGCTACTAGACTGATCTGAGATGGTAACATGCGCTCTTGCTTGAGCATGAGCCGCACAATTCGCAGATCATTTACAGAAAGAGATCTCATAACTACTCTTTTTGAAGTAAAAAATGAGTGTCGTCAATAATCAGATCCAAGTATATAATGCCTCCTCCTTTCTGGACTCCTTGAACAATGACCTGTGCATCTGACTCTCTCTCGATCAACATTTTCCCATCCTTCCTTGATAGCTTCCAAAATTGCCTCCCGTATTCCCACCGCTTCTGCTTCCGCCGGAGTCCATTCTGCCTTGCATGAAGCACCCCGCACCTTCACAAAATCACCCTGATCATTTCTGGCAAGCCAACCCCATGCCCTTATTCCCCCGGTGCAAACAACCGTCGCATCCACATTAATGTTAATTCCTCCCATTCTTGGTCATTTCCAGCTCTCATATTCACTCCTCTCACTGCTTCTCAGTTTGGCTACCTTCTGTTGCGCATCTCTCCATACCTGCAGCACACTTGCGCTGCAATTGATAACGTTGGCCGTGTTCTGCCAGTCATTCTCCCACATGAACGTATTCATGCGCTTCCACAGACTCCAAGCCAGTAATGTTGTCTTGCACCTTCGTTCCTTGTCCGGAGCCGTCAGTTCCGCTTGAAGCCAATCCATCAGGGACATCTCTTCGTTGCCTATGCCCACTCCAGCCTCCATCCAGACTTCAACCGCTCTCGGACAGAGCCGCAACACATGATCCGAGGTTTCAATTCCCTACAAACAAACTTTACAGGTATTTTGAACTTCCACTCCCTTCCGTTCCAGATTCGCTAATGATGGAAGCGATCCATCCAAAACCTGCCAAATAAAATATTTCACCTTAGGTGGTATTTTGAGATCCCATAAATCTTTCCATCCATTCCACCCTTCGACAACCGCTTCTTGGATTAAAGCCTTATAGCAGCTTTTCACAGTAAAAACACCACTTTGTTCTATATTCCACCAAAATCCATCTTTTTTGTCTCGTAAGCTGATAGGAATGCTACTAATAATTTTGCTTTCCTCCTCATTGAAAATAGCCGCTATTCTGTTCTTATTCCATTTTGTTCCTGTGATGTCTCTCAAAGCCGCTACATTCATATCTACTATGCCACCAGGTTTAGCTGATTGGACCCTTCCATTCCCCGGACTTGGTAGCCATGCATCCGCCCAGACCTGTACCTCCCTACCATTCCCAACCCGCTGTCTCAAATTATTTTTTAGCACGTCCTGGGTCTCAAAAATACTTCGCCAAATATAGGATGGATTACTTCCCAATTTGGCCCTCAAGAAATCCGAGTTAGGAAAATACCTCGCCTTTAGGACTCGCCCCATCAGACTATCTCGGTTAAATAGAAGCCTCCACCCTTGCTTGGCCAACATAGCAATATTAAATTCCTTCAATTTTCTAAACCCCAAGCCTCCTAACCCTTTTGGCTTACACACAAGTTCCCACAGTCTCCATCTGATGCCTCGCTGATCAAACTTTGTCCCCTTCCACCAGAAGCCATTCATTATTTTTTCAATCTCGTCACATAAGTCCCGAGGGAGCAGAAAGACATTCATGGCATATGTGGGCATATCCTGTACTACATTAATTCCGAAGCAACACTGCCCTTCCGGCCCGGGATAAAAAGCGATTATTCCAACTTTGTATCCTATGAAAAATTATATCCCGAAGGAATCTAAGGATAGCAGATTTCCCTCGGCCCACCAAGCTCGGCAGACCTATGTAATTCTGATGGCCTCCATCCTGCAAAACTCCAAAAAAATTACACCCATAATCTTTAAAAGCTTCATTAACATTGCTACTAAAGGTCAAGGTAGATTTGGCTAAATTAACCGCCTGCCCTGAGTTCTCCTCATACTCTTTCAATATCTCCTTCACAATATTGCATTCATAAGCCGTTGCTCTGAAGAATAAAAACCCGTCATCAGCAAAAAAGTAAGTGAGATACCCGCGGTCCGCGGAGCTCCCCTGCACACCGCAACTCCATGAATATCTCCTCGCTGTTCAGCCTTCCGAATCAATGTACTCAAACCCTCCACAACAAGAATAAAAAGATAGGGGGATAGAGGGTCACCCTGGCGCAGTCCCCTTCCCGGCAAAATAGGACCCAAAAAATCACCATCAAACTGGATGTAATAAATGACCGTCCTAACACACTCCATAATCATATGAACCCAACAACTGCTGAACCCCATCTTTTTTAATATATTTTCCAAAAAGGACCAGTCCACTCTGTCATACGCCTTAGTGATATCAAGTTTGAGTGCAACAAATCCCCCTTCCCATTATTCTTCCTCTTCAAGTAATGTTGGGTCTCAAAAGCCACAATAATATTATCGATTATAGATCTTCCCGGTATAAAAGCACTCTGGCTCTCTCCAACCAAAGAGCTCAGAATACCTTTCAATCTATTTGCCAAAACTTTTGAAAAAATTTTGTAGACCACATTACACAACGCTATAGGTCTCCAATCCCCCATACAGTCAGTCTGGCTTATCTTTTTTGGGAATTAAGACAATATTTGTAGTATTAATATTATCGGCCAGAGTACCTAATTCGAACATTTTAGCACACAACGCCGAAATCTCCGGGCCTACAACATCCCAGTAGGTCTGAAAAAATGTCGGGTTCATCCCATCCGATCGTGGTGCCTTCTCCGGATGCATATAACAAATCGCCTCTTTAACCTCCTCCGGCGGACTGATTGGCTTTAGTAGTGATTCATTCTGGTTGTCGTTCACTTGTGCAAAATCACCACGAATTTCCACCGTTCGATCCTCTTCTGGAGTCTGAAAAAGAGAAATAAAATAATTCATGACTATTGAGCTCAATTCATCCCTGTCCGTAACCCAGGTCCCGTCAGATTGCCTGATGCCTATCATTTTATTTTTCCTTCCGCGTTGTTTAACGGCGTTATGGAAAAATCGAGAATTAATATCTCCTTCTTTAAGTCAGAATTCATTTTCCCTTTGTTTCCAGAACAAATTCTCCTTCTCCAGTAGTATCTGTAGAACCGTCCGGATTTTCAGAAATTCTAAAACACTCGATCTGTCCTCTTTACCTCGTAACCAGGCCAACCTCTTTTTGCAAGCCATGATCTGGTGTCTGAAACCCCGTTTTCTACCTCTGTCCCAACACAATAGCTCATCCCCACATAAAGCAATTCTATCATTAATGGACATATGAGCAGCCGCCCTCTAGCGGTTAGTGACAACCAGCCGACATTCATCCTCCTTTACCCAATTATTTTCAAATTTAAATTTCTTCTTCCTGCTATTTTGATTAGAGATTTTGATATTCACGTAGAGGGTCATATGATCGCTAGCTGGGGCTTCCACCGAGACTGCCTAAGCCTCCATGAAAGTGTCCCACCACGCGTCATTCACCAATATACGATCAAGCTTTTCCTCCACCCAATGCGCCCTGCCCCTGCCCCTGTCCCACGTCCATTGGTAGCTTGAAAAGGTGAAGTCCCGCAACCCACAACTATGCACAGCCTCCCGGAAGCCCCAGATTCTCCATGGGGGATGAGGTATACGCCCCTTCTTCTCGGAATCAAAGAGAATGTCGTTCAAATCTCCGATCATCATCCATGGGCCACTGCTATCCGTCGCCAATTCCTCCATCATAGCCCATGCTTCCCTTCTCCTTCTCGTTTCGGGGAAACCATAGTAACCCGCCAACCGTCATGGACAATCAGTCGCCTTCAAATTGACTCTGCAGTCAATGAAATTCCTCTCGCTCTTCACAATCTCGACTTCAACGTCATCTCTCCATCCCAGAACCAAACCTCCACTCGAGCCTTCACTGTCAATTCCGTAGGCATCATGGAAGCCCTGCTTTCGCAGCAGCTCATTCACCCTCAAACATCGCACCTTGATTTCCATAAAAAACACAATCGAAGGCCTGTTTGCGTGCACCATATCTGTGAAGCATTGGTTCGTGGCTGGATTATCAAATCCCCTGCAGTTCCAACTAAGCACGCTCATTCTTAATTGATGATAGCCATCCCCTCGATTTGGCCGCAGAAAACCCTCTGGACGAGAGCGCCGCCGGAACAAACACCTAGGAGAACCCTAGAGACGGCTGCTTTTCTCTGGAACTTCTCAAACAATGGAGTTAGAAAAATAAAAATAAAAAGGGTTGTTGGCCAAGTATTTATGGTGTGATGACGTCACTAACACTCCCAAGAAGGAGTTCACGTGTTCAAATCTCATAATTTAGAACATACTACTCCGTAGAATAGCTTAGCAAGAATTGTTAATAAATAAATAATAAATAAATAAATAAAAAGGGATTGAATAAGCCAATGAGTTGTCCCTGTGCCCCCCTCAGTACTGCTTGAGTCCGCATTGCGGCTCTGTTGCAGTTTGCTTCAGGGAAGAAAAAGACCACACCGGAGTTGACATTGACTGTAACATAACCCCTGCACAGCTAGCTCGCGATTGTATGTATGCCATTTCACATTCACTCCTCGTTTAGATTTAGATGTCAACCTTTAAGATTATAGTTTCATCCCTTTCCACTCTACATTTAGCTTCTCTGTGATTTTATTTTCAAGACTGAAGCTTTCTTCCGGATTAATACTTGGGGGAGTATACAAAAAGAAAACTACTTAGGGGGATTTGTCCTTATCATTACCTGCTTAGTCCAAGTTCCAATTTCATGTTTTAAATAATGATCTTTTATTTAATTGGTCTTTTTACAATCACTCTAGATTACATGTATTTGAGGATTGAAAGTTTCTATAGTTTTTCAATTTGGTAGGTAGGTTTTAAGATTTGTTGAGCTAAACCTAGGTGGTAGGTGTTTGAAAAAACAACCCAATTAAAAAAAATTCTTTTTAATATAAAAATACTTGCTATATTTGTCTAGGGAAGTGCTCCATTAAGAATTAAACATATATAAATTGTCTCTTCACAGCAGACCTTGAGAGTGGAGGGCCAGAAAACACCGCTTTTCATTTCTCTTTATTCGAGTGAGCCAGCATTTTTGGAATATAAAAGTTGTCTGGATTGGTTTGATCACCAGAAGGGTGCGGTACATATGTGAGTATGTGACTAGCCCTAACCTTGGTTTGATCCTCTAATCAATTTTCCCGCAGATCTATTGCATTGAATTTCATATTTTCATAGCATAATCCCATTTCCCTGGCTTTCCTAGTTTACATTTAGTGTTGTTCACTTTTCATTGTTTTAGATCAATCACATGCTTAGTTTTTCATTCTTTCATTGAGCCTGCACTTTATTAGTTTAAATTACCTATTTGAGGCTTACATGTCTTCCCAAACGTTTGACAACCCCACTTGCATTTCACTATACACATTCTGTTGCCTTCCATCACATTCTGTTGGATCAGTTCGGATATTTGCGATTTTGCGTGCAACTACTTAGCTTATCAATAGGCGAAAGCCTGGTCATGTAATGGGGGAGACATTGGCGTACACATGAGAACAGAAGGAACAAAATGAGACAGGTCGTGAAATGGATCAATAACCCTGTCACTCAATTTAATCTATATTGCGACAGTGGTTAGGGGTTGAGATTTTTTGTCCATTTTTTCAGTTAGATATTATTGTGAGACGACTTAAAGTAGAAAATGTTGCTGCAACTTTCATAAAACATATGCTTCATTCGTTTGTTCATGAACCCTTAAAATGAGTAAATTACACAGATATAGGATGGGACAATGGGTGTGCAACCGATTCCAACATTTAAGAATAATGATTTAATTGTAATGAAGGATACGTATTTATTTCTTGGAAATACTTCATGGAGAAGATGATGTGTGTGTGGGTGGGGATGTTGAGTACATGAAATCTAAGGAAGTCAAGTACTGGATTGTAATTTGACAGTTTTAATCCTGAGAAAACTCCAAGGTCCCACTCCTGTTACCATCCTCCATAAACCAGCTATCGTCCTGAGAACCATGAAAATGCTTAAAGATATCCATATTCCTATGTAGCCATTGCTTTTCGAGAGCAAAAACTCTGAGCTGATTGTCAGTGCTGCAACCAGAACCTGCATCAAGATCAATTACATTCAAGTAAAGGGATTTTACCAGCCTACTCATCTTATATATCTTGTCAGTGGCATGTAAACTGACTCAGCGACTATAAAACAAAACGAAACACACCCGAGTAGGTCTCCCGTGGAAGTAGGGTATGGCCGTATGGGGAAGGTAAGATGCACTCAAATCATACCTCTTCCCTTAAGAGTAGAGAGGCTTTTTCTGTGGAGAAGGCGTGCAAATATTTTTTGGCAGTTTTTAAAAATTTTGCAATTTTTGAATATTTTGAAGGTTTTGAAAATTTATAGTATGAAAAGATATCTCAAGGTGAAAGGAAGTGTGCACAGTGTGAGGCAAGATGTAAGAGCAGAAAAGGAAAACATTAATTAAAGGCATAAGATTAGAAATAAAGGCCTGAAGAGTAGAAACTAACCATTGAATATGCGGAGTATAAAAAGTCTGATGCCCCAAAGTTGACACCGTCGAGAACAAAAGCCACTGAATTTAAAGGCTGTGTTCCTGCAACAAACTGACAATGGACACCCGCCAAAAGAAAGATTAGAGAATGTACACCACAAGGAAAGCCTTTGGTAACACTCAAGTAATTGTATGTTTATTAATAGAGTACCGGAACAGCAATGGTTATGAGGCGAATGACGTTCTTGTCCTTAGAAAACACTCCCGATCCAAAGTATAAGCCCAGCCCAACCACGAGAGCAAGTGCATGTCCCATCACAAATCCCATCTGCATAACAAAATCTGTTTCAGGAATTGTGCACTTTCTTCATCAACCAGTTTAATATCAATCAAGAATTTAAGACTTTAAGGAGTTGCCTAAGGCTTTATACGGTGTGGGATGAGTAACAACAAGTTCATCAGATTTACCTGCACAACTCTAGCTGCTGCAGCCTTTGCTTTACTGTAGTCTTTTTCAGCAAATGCGGATGCAAGAATTGCCTACATCAATGGAAAGAGGCAAGACCTTAATGTCATTGATTTGTTTTTGTTTTTGAATCTTCAGGAAACAAAACACTACATACCTGTCCCGCAACAGCCAATCCATCGGCTAACAGAGATGATGTCAGCCAAACCTGTAAGCAGACTTGAAATGCAGCCATAGTCGTTGTACCTTTTCTTGCAGCCAATGAAGCACCCACAGTAACACAAAATGTCACAGCTATCACCCTTGCCAGTAACCAGAATCCTGAAGTATTAAATTTCAGTTTGATAAACGTTTTAAGAATCCAAATCAGACTCGTAAAGGAACATGGTAGATTTAAGAACACATTATCTAGAAAATGATAATATATTTAATTTATACAAGTGAACAACAGTTTAGTAATAAGGCATTGTATTAAAAATAGACTAGATTTTATCTTTTAATGTGGTTTGACCAATGTGCCATACGAGTGATGTGTGGTACTTTAACATACCATTCTTGAGAAACCTACTAAGTTGCAACGCTTTGAAACTTGGCGGTAATAGTTCAATTTCTCCTACTAATTTGCAGAACAGGATTGTACATAATAAGTACCTGAAGAAGAACGAAAACACCTGAATGTAGTGAGAAGTTGTAGACGTTATATCTATATGAATTTTGGTATTTTTTATATAAAGGCCAGCTTACTGAGAAATAACATGAGCTATGGCTGCACCACTGACACCCCAGTGACAAGCAAATATAAAGATTGGATCCAACATTATATTAGCTAAATCTCCAATAGCTGTTGGGTTAGAAATTTAATGAAATATCAGTAAAGCAACCACCATTAAGGCAAAGCAGCCAAACTCATTAATTTACTACTGCTTACCAGTGGCATATAAAGGAGTTTTGGTGTCCTTTAGACCACGGAAGATACCTTGCATTGCCAAAGAGAGAAGTACTGCAGGGGCACCAAGGGCTCTGAGGAACATATACTTCTGTGCAGGGGCAAACATGGGAGATTCCTGTGAAATTATATGGACAAGAAACAATTATATAGTAAATTTTTATGGTTCCTAAGAAAAAGGCCCTACTAAAACTTGTGGGTATATCCTACCTTATACAGAGTAGATTTTGCATAATCTCACGCCGGCATAATATACATATTAACTCACTTATAAGGTCTTGAACTACTTACCATGACACGTCTTAATATGTTATCATATTGAGGAGCACACAAATTTTAAGATTGATTTGCTCGTGAGCCATTCCACAGAATTAAAAAGATATAACTCACGTATAAGTATTGGGCGACACTTATAGATTGATCTTTTAGGATGTAACTCTTCCTTATTATATAAGAAGTGCAGTCTAGCTAATACCTCTTATAAAGGTTTGTACTTTTATATTTTATCAATATTAGCTGGTCAACCTACTAGAAGATCCAGGTTATGGAGAAAACTTACAGGTTTGACACCCATTAAACCCAAAAGTTGTTTGGACGGAAGGATGAGCATTCCAGTTTGGAGAAGGCCAAGAATGATACCCATAACCAGTGCAGTTGAAGCTGAAGGAATATGGCGCTTCTCTCGTTTAACTTTCTTCTTGATTGCATTGTTTTCAGTTGGAGTTGTGCACACATTTTTTGTTTTGGTGTCTGGTAGTAAAAAAAAAATACCAAAATGATAAGCCATACTCATAAAGCCAAAAAGAAGTGTGAAAGTGAGCACGTACCATCTTGGTGTGTAGATATCTTAGTTCCATTGCTTGTGGCAAGACCAGTCTCCATCTTCTCAAGTTCACAATCTTTTGGCTTTTCCTTTGTAAGTTCTTTCGCTTTGACAGTTGATTCAGTCATCCTTCTGACACTTTCTTCCTCTGCAACAAAGGAAGTGGTAATGTTGACAAGAGGGAATATGGTGACCTTGTTGGCTTGATTGAGGATAGATATGGCAACTCCCACCGCAGCAATCTCCACAGGACCTGTAGCGGAAAATGAACACAAGTTGGGGTACTTAGTGATGACGTGTGGGAATAATAATTTCTGCGAGTGTATGAGGTTTATATAAGACACATAAGTTTACACAATAGGAAAGGTACAATGTCATTAGAAATAAGAACACAAGAAAAAGGAAATTACTCGATACTTCGTATATGAAATTTGTAATGAGCAATAAGAATCATAAGGAAAAGGGAACCACTTAATATATAATATTTTTTTAGTACTATTGATATTCCTCACTATGTGTCATCTGAAACAGTCTCTTTGTGCTTTAGTACAGGGGTAAGACCGCGTACATTGGACCCCCCTTTACCCCACCATAGGTGGGAACCTTTGTTGCACTGGGGTAATGATGATGAATGATGAATGAGTACTATTGATATTCCTAATTAAAATAATCCTAATATCTTAAAATGTCACACAAGTTGGCTACATAATACCAAGGGTCAGGCCGGAAAATATACCTAAATGACCGATAAATGCGGTGTCTATCAGAGAAGCAATGGGATCAGCTGCCAGTGCCATAGCTGCAGGGAGCGCAATACTGAGTATCTCCATACCAAGGTCATCCAACTTGAAAAGATGACTGACACATTTTAAAGTAGAAGGGAAAACAAAGAAAACTTAAATCACACATTTGGAATATATCAGTAGAATCTAAATGAATGTATATATATAGAGAGCACATCTAAAGCATTCAAGAATGACCTGATTCTACTGAAGACAACTAGGAAGGGTAGGTTCCATGTCTTCTTAGGTTCATCCATAACACCACTATTCTCAGCCATGATACTCAACAGAACAGGTCCAAATTAACCCTTGAAATTTATGCGAAGAAAACCAGTTAAGAGGAACTTGGATATGTATATAAATCTGCACTGCTTAATGATATCATAAATTCTCTTCTCTCATAAGGGGAAATAAAAGCCCAAACTAAATAACTACTGACATATATGCTACCATAGAGACTTGTGGTGTATATGAGCAATTAGAACTATCAATTGGCAGCTTCTTTCCAATGGAACAAGCACCTTAGAGCATGATCAAATAAACTAGCTAGCTTCCTCATGTATGAAGGAATGAAAGAGGGAGGAAGATGTGTCTGATTCTCATTGGTGTTTGCACACCAGATAGCATGTCAAAATAGAAAACACTACTTCTACCTTCAACTTTTTGGTGATTTCATTACACTATTAATAAATTCAAGATTTTCAGCAAAAGCATAACTTTTTTTAAAATGAAAAATGATACAGTATACCACATCAACTTTTTACTGTAATAAACACACGCATAGACAGTCACAGACTGATGTCATGTATATGGGTGTTTGTGCATGCGTGTGTGAGTAGGAAGAAAAAATGAAGGTTCTGTTAGAGGTATGTCTAAAATCGTGTGTTTATAGATAGCACTACTCAGCACAAAAGGGCAAAGCTGAACTTTGCTGATTCCACTAGTCCTATATTCTGGCTTTTTCTCTAGTGTTTTAGGCACTTTAATTTATTGTTGTTTCTTTTTTGTTTTTTTCCCCAAATAAGTTAAATCTGTCTCACTCACGGTATCTCTCTCTTACATGTTGATGCAATTAAGGTTTTTATGAAATTCAATAAGGCGGGCTCCTAAAGTTTCAAAAACAATTCATTTATTTAAAATGGTTTGTTTAAACTTAAATAAAAAAAATCTGAAATTTGGATGACCCAAAGCCACTAATGCCACATGCCCTCATAGCCTTACTGAGAAGACCATACAACTACCCCCACATAGCTAAAGGTGCAAGGGGTGTAGCTCAACCGGTAGAGAGGGAGTGCGGTTAAGTGCCGGGTTCGAATCCCGGAAACTGCGATGAGAGGTTACTATGCTAAAAAATGCATAGTGTCTCTGCAAGTATTGGAGACAGAGTCTTACTCTCTATCTGTCAGATTGTGATTATAGTCCCATTTACATCCTCCTAACATACCGTCCGGTCGATGTTGGGGCCTCCTCAGGGATGGGTGTCACTTTTTTTGTTATCTAGTAATTTTTGTCACTTTCTAGTTAAAGTAATTAATTTGTCTCTCTTCTTTACACAAATATTAATCACATAATTTTTACTTTTCTGGATTCTTACTTAATTCAAAATTGGCAATTTCAAATTGGAAATAGGTAATACGATAGTACTTCGTATATGTTAAAAGAATTACGTAAACATTTATTAAGAAAAGATCTTTTTACAAATCTACTATGACAATAACCTAGCTTTAGGTAGCTGTAGCCTGTGCGTAAGCTTACATACAAAACCCCACGTTCAATGTATACATGGGTATTAATTTAATATACTCTTGGTTTTCATTAAATTCCTAATATACGTATTTTACAAGTATTATGCTTCGTATAAGAAAACGCAATAAATACTTTAATATATTTCGTATTTAACAACTATTATGTGCAAAAATTAACTACACAGCCTACACTACTATAAACTCATGAATGTTCTACATGGATACTTAAAAACTAATTGGTGCACATCTTATCAAGAACTCATTTCAATTCATTTAATAAACGTAACACTAAAATCCTTGGAAGTCTATACTAACACTAATTTCATAAACTCACGGATAAAAGCGTAAATCGATTATGTGAACGTCATTAAAAATTAATTAAATTCCATCTAAATTATGGTTTTGATTACATCACTCCTAAAAAAATGATCGATTACATGACTCTCCTAAATAATTACAATTCTCTATTAATTAAAACAACAACGGCCATACCAAAAGCTAAATATAGAAATGGTCCCATTCACCGTACACGTTTAACAATATTTCTCATTGGATGCTAATTAAATTGACCAAGAATGATCACCTCTGTCAAGTGAAGTGAGGATCCTGACTTGCACAAAAACGGGCTCAGACCGGGTTTTTCATTTTCTGCCCATTGGTGTGGGTGGACCGTCCGGACGGGCCAGTCCTTTTTTGTGCAGGTCTAGATTGTATATATCAATTTAATAATTAATTTATCTACTATTGTATATAACCTTGTGTCTAAAAATAAACATTGTTTTTTCTTATACTTTTATCCAAAACTAAACAGGCACCACTTTTCTAAAATGATTATGTAGAATGAAATGAGAAGTTTGATATTTTTTACTGTGATTTGTTGAATATTATTGTATCTGTTTTGTTAAATGCCAATATCCTTTATTAGGATGAGTTTTGAACTTGCGATCCCCTCCATGAGAGTGTCACATTGATATAATCGATTCACAAGGTGCTTGGCAAATGATGGAGTTAGATATGGAGTTTGATATGAGTGCCACATGAATGTTAGTTTTCAATATATATTTATTTGCAATCATAAATATGGACCTTTTTAATTATTAAAATATGGTAGAGATTATATGGGGAATGGATGGAAGATGCTTTTTATTTATTATTCAAAATTGAGAAACTAAATATTATCCTCCGTTCTTTAATAGTTGCAACAATTTGAATTTCACATTTGTCAATACACACCTTGACTGTATTTATATTTAATTGCGTATTAGTAAACATTATAAAAAATTTATATTTTGAAAATTCATATTAATAGAAATTTAATGACATTTTATACATAATAATCTGATCATATATATTACTAGAAAATTGTGGTCAAAGTAATGTGTGTCAATAGTGCAAAAATACAGTGTTGCAAGAAATAAAGAAGTATTGTAATAAACAAATGAACTTTATACTATTCTAACATTGTCTCATTCTTTTATCATGAAAACATATCAACTTGTAATGCATTTTTTCAAAACAAAAAATAAAAACCTCCTCTCCTAACTACTCAAAATCTCACCTAGAAAACACAGTTTAAGTGATTAATATGATCCTTAGTGATGCAGTTGTATAATTTTGATTCCTAACCATTATAAAGAGCATATAAATGTTTTTAACGTTAGATTAAAATTTGTGAATGACTTTGTAGTCATTCTTGTGTGACATAGTAGTGAACACACAATAATGTTTTATTTGTAAATTCAGAGGGGATGGTAGTCCCCACTTCCCCCACACATAATACTTTTTTTTAGTACAGAACCAATAGTTAATTCAAGAGCAGCTGTTGTTGATTTTATAATTAAAACTAATATAATTAAAAGTTAATAGTATATCCAAATAATATGAGCACATGCATACTATTAAATGTTTGACATATTATGGTGTATCCTTAATATGTGTCGAGGGCGAGGACGAGGACGAGGACGAGGATAAGAACAAGGACGGGGACGGGGGCGAGGCCGTATGTGTGGTTTCAACGTTGCAATATTGCATATAACAATGCGGAGCAATATGGACTTATTACATCTTCTCTCATATATGTAAGTACTGAAAAAGAGAGGATGGAGCAGACTAATTACCTTAATGAATATAGTATAGTTGGTACTTTGGGCATACAGCTTTGAAGTTCTAACTAGCCTAGCTAGCTTGTTGTTCAAATCCTTAGTGCAACAAGCTTTAGATTAATCTGTAGGCGCTCGCTGCTCACTAGCTAGTCTACTCAGGGATGAATATAATTTGAGTTGAATTGGCAACCTCCATCATTCACCCTTTTATTTATAGGCCTTTCCTCATGCAAATAGTACAATGCCCTTCATTCCTGTTTTTAATACATTATTTGACAGTTTGTGTAAAAAAAGCAAGTTAGTGCGTGCAGTACGATTGTGATGTTGGTTGATTATATTGTGCACTTACTTTCCACTTAATTTGTGCACTCAAATGAAATTAAGGCTAACTCATTGGGCAAGCTAAGGCATTATAGGCAGTGGCGGATGCACAATTAGATTAACTATATACAAAATGATTGTTTAAATGAGATTAATAGAGTTATAGATTTGATATGTATGTCATATATATTATATACATGATGTATACGGGTTTAGTTGACGGGTTTTCTGCACCAGTGACTCCCTCCGATGAGACCCTTTATATTACCTTGAAACTTTATAGTTCCCTGTCACCCGCCTTAATCAATATCAGGATTTCTTACCAGAAAGGGAATCGGCTATTGAGTGGACACTCGAAACAGTAAGATAGTTTGTGTTTGCTCTAATCTTGAGTCATGTTACGTAAGTAACACGTGAATTATATGTTGTGTTGAAAATTTGAGAATATAATTAATATTATGTATCAAAATTTACACATTTTAAGTTTAGATAGTGACGATTTATTAGAAATCATAACTTTTTACTTGTAATGAGTTACGAGAATCATAATATATCAAATTGAAGGTATTTCAGAGTTCTATACTCTCAAATAGGGGCCAACTAACCCCCTAACCCCTTTGGCTTTGCCCCGGTTATAGGATTAAATGTAGTGACCGAGAATACATTAGATTTACATATTATGACTGACATTATTGAAATGGTGGAATTGATAAACTTTTTACTCGTAATGAGTTACGAGAGATATAATATATCAAATCAAAGATATTTTAGAGATTTATATTCTCAAACTTTCAGGGGTCAGATGACTCTCTAACCTCCTTGTATCCGCCTAGGTTATAGGATAAAGTGGAGTGACCGACTGAATATATTAGGGTTGCATATTATGAGTGACATTATTGAAATGGTGGAATTGATGAATGTTTATTTGGATGATGAACAGACACTTATTAAGAGTAGACATTTTTTAAGAGTTAATTCCGTGGATGACTGTCGTTTCAAAATTTAAATATCTAGGTTTTCCGTCAAGTTAATAATTATTAGGCTCGGTAAGGGTTACGTACAATTGATACTTTTTATCATTGTTATTTTTTGTGTTATCACCTAGTACATACGTGTACGTTCCCGTCTCTAATTTGTATAGTAAATGCAGTTATCATAATAATTTCTTAAAGTCAACACAATTTGTTCACCTTTGAATCTTTAACAATGTTTTTAATTGGACTCAATTTTCTGATGTAATGTGATTAAGTCTAGTTTGATTTGGTTTGAACCGGTTGACTCTTGTTTGATAGATGTTTGTTATATGTGCATTTTAAAACTGTCGAAGCCTAATCAGATCTGGTATGATATGATCTGCTTAAGTCTGGTCTAGTTAATATATGTTTGAAAGTTGAAACCAGTCAAATTAAAAACTCACAATGTGTCGAAGTCTCGAACCTAAATTATTTAAGATGGAAATTTATTTTTATCAACCACAAGAACAAAATCTTAATAGGTTATTAGCATGTTAGCAATACAACATCACAATTCAACATTTCAAGATGAACAATTCATGATTTGTGGAATAAAGCAAAACAACAAATGAAACAAGGACCGTCCATTAATGTGCAAAGCAAACAAACGCAAAATGTAGGTAGAAAAAAGTAAACGTTGACTTAGACTACATAAAACACATCCCAGTGTACCAGAGAAAGAACATCAGGGCTTTAAGCTTTGTCGTGCAAGTTTCAAAGCCTACTTAGTGTCCACAGATTTGTAAAAGCTAAGCAAATCAAAAGACACTAAAATTCAATAAAATCTTTATTTTCAGAGGCAGGCAAACCGAAAAGGTTAGAGTTTTGTTTAGGCCACCTGAGTTGTCATAGCCCCCCAAGAAATCCCACATTTCACCATTTTTATGACTATGTTCACTTAAATGAAAAGTGATTTTTCTTATCCAAAGAAACAATCACCTTTTACACTCACAGTACTGAAGAATATACACATAGATATATATATGCACAATCCAAGAAATTCATACCCAATATTGTGTTTTTAGCAATTGGGTAGACCAAGGTTTGGGGTTGGCGGGGATGTCATATGGAAGGAAAAGTAGGGAGCTTTTCATTCACATTTGAAAAGAGAGCAAAGAGATCAAGCAAGAACAGAACAACCACTAGTACAAAAAAGACTTTTCACATCGGTCAAAAAAGGCTTTTCACATCGGTCAAACAGCCGATGTGGTTCCAGCACATGTGAAAAGTATTGACCTTTGACATCGGTCAAACAGCCGATGTGAAAATTCTTTCTACATCGGTCGTTTAGTGCCCGATCTAGAAGATAGTCCGAAACGGCGTTTTAATGATATTTCACATCGGTTATAACCCATGTAAAAAAGAAACCACATCGGTTACTTTATAACTGATGTAGAAAAGCTTTAATTTTTCCCGGAGCATTGGTTTTTCACATCGGTTATAACCCATGTAAAAAAGAAATCACAACGGCTATTTCACAACTGATCTGAAAAGCTTCGTTGTTTTTCGGAACATATGTGTTTCACATCGGTTATAACCCATGTAAAAAAGAAATCACATCGGTTATTTCACAACTGATGTGAAAAGCTTCATTTTTTTCGGAACATATGTGTTTCACATCGGTTATAACCCATGTAGAAAAGCAATCACATCGGTTATTTCACAACTGATGTGAAAAGCTTCAATTTTTCAGTATTTTTCATGAAAATTTTTGCAATATGACCCCTGTTTATACTATAATCACATCATTAACAGTATCATCAACTACTATAGCACAATTTTTCACCTGTTCACTTGATACATCTAAAACAACAACACAAACTATTTTTCAATTCTTCCACAAATGTTAAACAAGTTCAAGTAACAACTTAGTACATAATAACAAGCTAAAATAAAACAATTCTTGCACAAGTCTAGAGTAATAACACATTGTATTTGTTTAACATCATCACTCAAAAACTTAAACAAACACGTTCATCATGTGTCGTTGATGGATTGCGTCATTTCTAAGAAATATGATGTCCAACGAGTCCGTACTTCATCAATCTCTTCTGATGAGAATGGTTCCGGATTGGCGAATCGCTACAAATTTAATAAGAAGGTTATTAAAAAACATTACATGTGGAGCAAACCTATTGAATGTAAATAAAATAATAATGTACCTCATCCCACATTTCAAGAATTACCGCCGAAACAATATTCAACATATGCAACATTACATAATAACCACATTCATAACTCCCAACTTGCATCCGAGACTACAAGTTAGAACAACATACTTACTAATCAGAAATTACGGTATTCGACTTGGTGCTACACAAATGAAAGTAAAAATAACATACAAAGTAAAGTAGTAAGTATTTACCATAGGAATAATCCATTTCACTCTTCCCTTTCTTGAGTTGAGTCTACGGCTTGCCTCCATTGCACTATGTAATTTATAATATTATATATATATAATAATAATTTATTTATGCAATTAAGATATTAAAACGGAATGTACAAAATACTTACGCATCAATAATATTTTTGAATTGTCTATTTGGCTTATTCCCCAAAGAACAAAAGAAGACAATAGTGTTTTGAATAGGAGAGAGAATAAAGAGCTGCCAATGATTCCTGTATACATAAAAAAAGGATAAAAGACAAACAATAATTTTTTTTAAAAAAATAATACATAAAAAAATATTTACTATAATGTACACTTCTTACTCTAACATCTAAAAGAAAATCTTACTCTAACAACTTATCCATCTAAGGAAACACTTGTAGCAAAGAATGCATTACCCGCTAGTTCTTCTTAACCAAGGAGTTATATCAAGTATCAACTTTGCAATATTTCTCTTGCATCATTAAAGTGACCCTTTTGGAATAACAATCTGAAAAAGTGTAGCTCCCCAGCCCCCACCCCATCCCACCAGCCCCCTCCCCAGCTCCCTAGCCCCCTCCCCAGCCCCCTCCCCAGCTCCCCAGCCCCCTCCCCAGCCCCCTCCTCAGTTCCCCATCCCACTCCCCAGCTCCCCAGCCCCTCCTAGCTCCCCAGCCACCTCCTTTGCCCCCTCCCCAGCTCCCCATCCCCCTCCCCAACTCCTCCCCATCCCACCAGCCCCCTCCCCAGCTCCCCAGCCCCCTCCCCAACTCCCCAGCCCCCTCCCCCAGCTCCCCAGCCCCCTCCCCATCCCACCAGCCCCCTCCCCAGCCCCCTCCCCAACCCACCAGCCCCCTCCTCAGCTCCCCATCCCACTCCCCAGCTCCCTAGCCCCCTCCCCAGCTCCCCAACCACCTCCCCTTCCCCCTCCCCAGCTCCCCAGCTCCTCCCCATCCCACCAGCCCCCTCCCCAGCTCCCCAGCCCCCTCCCTAGCTCCCCAGCCTCCTCCCCAGCTCCCCACCCACAATAAACAAATAAATCTTATCTATCCATTCAAGAAACATTAGCTCATAAAGTATCGTAATCAGAATATCACCTAGATTATATGATCTCAGAACGATCCTAAAAGACATTAATTCATTAACTAAGGATACAAGAGTGAGAAAAGGCATCAGTTTCATGCTTAAAAATATAAAATAGGGTTTTATGGAGAACCATGAAGTAAATTTGTGAATGATAATATTAAAAGCCAAGTTGATAACACAAAGCAAAAGAAAAATCGTAAAGATTCACTTTTTTAAAGTATAAAACAGTAATATTTTAAAATTCTTTTCATGTGCTTCGAGAAAACCCATTAAAACTGTTAATAACCATGTAACGGTAAGAATGCTTTTGCTAAAAAGGAAAAAATGGATCAACTCCAGAACTGAATTAGTAGATGATTAGCTGCCAATAATACGTTCAAAATTGATAATGAGTTCATACTTCCTACAGAAGTGATCATTTGTTATCAAAGTTTTCAATTACATATTGGTTAACTTTTCAAAATCTTATTTTTCAAATTATCTTCATGGGATGTAGCCACGCCACATGTACTCTTCTTCTACCAGGCAGAGCTTAAAAGCTACAAGCATTTTGCGTTAGCTATTTACCTTCCATCACAGAGCACAAAGGAAATCAACAGAAAACCAATAGACAACCAAATAAGCAGATTCATTCCTGTTATGTTTCCATAAAATACCCCCCACACCCAAAACAGGATGAATGAAAAATCAATTGAGCCAAAACTATTTTATCAAAGGCAATAAAGCGAGCTGATACTTGAACACCTAAAATCTCAATCCATGAACCACACTTTAACCCCACAGTTGAGCTTTGCAAACAAATTTAAGCAAACAAGCTATCAAGCAAATATTGAATATTTCTCTTGCACCAAACGCACCAAAAGCTAAAACACATACAAGAAGGTGGAAAACAACTCACAGGCACAACCAGAGCTTACCCAAGGATTATTAGATCAAAGTTTGCTTGAAACTATGGAGGATTTACCGAATGCAGAGGTGGGATTTTCTTGGTTTCCTCCGCCCAGGCACTGATATATATATATATATATATATATATATATATATATATATATATATATATATATATATATATATATATATATATATCGGTGGGGAACTCGAAAGTCGCTGGAACGCTGTCTGCTCGAACCCTTCTGTTGTCTGCTCGAACGCTGCCGTCCGCTTCCGCTCGAACGCTGCCGTCCGCAGTCCAATCGAGCGTCGTTCGCTTCCGTCTCTCGAAGCCCGTCCGAAGTCCGTCGAAGTCCGTCCCTTCCGTCTCTCGAAGTCCGTCCAAAGTCCGTCGAAGTCCGTCCTTCCATCTCTCGAACGTCTCTCCGAAGTCCAGGCCGGGGCGAAAAAAATTGTGCAGGGGCTCTTCTTTCCTTCACGCTAGGTCTGAAATCAGTTAAGTGAAGGGGCGAAAATTTTTAAAATCATCCAGATCGGGTAAAAGTATTTACAATAAGAACCGATCTAAAATAAAGTTTCATTAATTATGAATATTACCCCGTTTTTCTTTTCACATCGGTTGCAATTATAACCGATTTAGATTGTTTCTTAAAATTTAAAAAAGTACCCCGTTTTGGTGTTTCACATGGGTTATAACTGCAACCTATGTAAAAACATTTATAAAAATTATAAAAATGACCCCATGTTAGTATTCTACATGTGCTTTAAAATAACACATGTAGAAAAGGAGATGTAAAAAGCCTTTTTTGTACTAGTGAACAAGTAGATTAGAGACTAAACGTACATCAAGTGGCACACCGACTGTAATGAAAGAAATGGTGTTGCAACATATGTTGTCTGCCATCAAATCTAAGTGGCCGGACAACGTTAACAAAAGAGTGATCATTCAGTAGGACAATGCAAGATATCATGTGGATGCAAAATATGTATATTTTGTAAAGTGTGCAACTGAAATTGGATGAGACATACATTTAACATGTTTATTTCATACAAGCTCCATCATCACCAGTCAACAAGTACACATAAAAATCAGGCACACATAGGAATGAAACACACACAATCAGTCAATATATTCAATAATTACAGTCATTATTTCAAATCTATTGACATAAGGCATACATAAGGCATACAAAAGACCTGGCGATGTTGAGTCTCAAAGGTTATTTTGAATGGTGAATGTGATTTTAAACTTGAAAAATGTATTTTTGGAACTAAATGGATTTTTGAATCTATACACTAAGTACCAAATCTATTGTAAGACTAATAGATCTTCCAACTCAGGTCTCCAGTCACTCAAATCCAGGTGGTTCTCAAACAACTCACAACCACCACACAGAACCATCTAGAAGGGGTGCAAACGTGCCGAGCTCGAACATGGATATACTTGAGCTTGAGCTTGATAAGAATTCACGAGCTCGAACTTGGACAAGCTAAATAATTCAGACTTGAACTCGAACCGAGCTTGACTCGAGCTTGGGTCGGGTTTTGCTAAGTAATTTTTATAAGTTTAAGCTCGAATATGAAGCTCGAACTCAAACACAAATTCGAGCTAAAACTAAAATTTCTATTTTCCAATTTATTAATATTACCTTTATATATACAAAACAATATTGCGTAGAATATGTTACTTAATCGTTCTAATTTTTACGTCATCCTTTTTCCTTCATTGACATTATTATTCCTTATTTTAATATCAATATATATTACAGATTATGGTCATAATAATAAATATTGTTATATTTGTAATTATTACTATTCTAATATACTCCTTAATAAATAAGTATTGAAAAATGATATAATTCTAAATTAGAACACATACTCCAAATGTGTGTTTGTGTGTGTGTAGAATATGCATATACACAAAGGCTCGCGGACCTGCTCACGAGCCAGGAGCCTAAAATAAATAGGCTTGAATTGAGCTTGATAAGTATTCGAGTCGAGCCGAACTCGAGTCGAACTTGAATAGGACCGAACTCGAGTCGAGCTTTTCCCGAGCGGTCCATGAGCCGCTCCCGATCGGCTTGGCTCATTTACACCCCTACCACCAGGGACAAGGGAATCACCACGAAGGCACCGCGAACCCAAACCCAACCCAACTACCTTCTCAAACCTCTCCCAAGAACTCAGAGCACACACACACACTATCAAAGTGAAGAGAGGGACGACAGAAGAGAACCAGCAAGAGAGAAGCCGGATTCTCTCTCTATAAAGAGTTCTCTAGAAGTAGGGTATGCCTGAGGCAGCTCAAAGGAATGAAGGCAACCCAAGAGATTAAATAGGCGGGTCGAAACAAGCCCAATAAGGTAAGTAGGTCAAGCAAGGGTGAGGACCAAACACAAAGGGGTGAAGCAACAAGAAGGAACAAACGGGCTAGGGTGCAACCAAGGAGGCGGGCCCAAGTCACGGGTCGAAAAGAATTGGAGGTCAAAGCCCATTGGGCCAATACCTCTCACAGAAGCATACACTAGAAAAAGACTTATGATAGGGTTTCTAATTTAACTCAAACACCCATGAAGCACATAAATATTCAGCCGCTCATGTTTCCTTGTTTGGGAAATTTCGAAGCGTGTCGAAATTACTTTAAATTTTTGTTTCAAGACCATTTTCACAAGAGAGAATTCCCTAAATAGGACTAAAAGAAGGTAGAATAAACACGAATGCAGTTCACATGTACAACAGAGTTCTCAACCTCTACTCTACCATCCAAAGCAAAAAAGCATATTTCGAAGACAAGAAGGGTGCTTCCTATTTCAGAGACAACGGCTAAGAATCCTTCCCTCCGTCGAACGAAGCCTTGTAGCGGCAAACCCTGCAGCGGCGCTTGTCTCCATCTTTCGCGAATCTTCTCCCACTCCTAAAAAACGAACGAATTAAACCCTACTCACGTTAACGACAAAGGGTCAAGGCTTGGCGTATTATGTTTGGAGAATATTTTGCGAGGGCTTTTGTCCGCTTCTTTCTCTTCGGCCCACTTTATGGCCCAAGCGGATCCCCTTTTATTTTGTTGGATTGATCTTTAGGCATTGGGATTTATCTCTGTTTTAAAATGTAATTGGCTTTGCTTTCTAAATTTTAATAAATCTGGTAAATGTTCCCCGACATTTACCACACCTGTCAAGGTGTTTCTCGGGCAAAAAAAAACTAAAAGAAGGTAGAATTGCAAAAATAGGACTACTATGTTTTATTGGCCAAAAATAGGAATAAAAAAACTAATCTGACAAGACTACCCTTAATGAAAAAATTAAAAGTCCGCAGGATCTGTGCGAGATCCCCTAAGATGCGCAAGTGTGCCGTGTGCGTTTCCAAGCCTCCAAGAGTCGACGCCTCCACCGATGGCGCCTCTGCCACCCTCCATCATGTCTGCCATCATCGCCACCATCGCTGCTCCTCTGCGAGTACGCCGTCATCATTCTCCCACAAGGATCTACCCTCAAGTGAGTCTATGCAGGCCTCCATGAGAAATGCCACATAATATACGAGAATGCCACTTAATATGCATAATGACACCATAATGACAATTTCGTATAGAAACATAACATTCTCAATGTGGTATTTACAAACACTGTAATGACATAAAAGTGACATTTTTAAAAAATAACCAATAATTATGACACTCTCTGATTCAAAAAGTGACATTTTCTTGAGAATCATTAGTCAAGACAAAAATATGAGAAAAAATAAAAAAGAAGAAAGAAAAATTTGACCTATAGCCATCTTTATATGTTAGTACTATAAAAATGACAACATTTGAAAAACATGTCAAAAAACATGTCATTTTAAGCCATAAAATGCCCTCAAATGACATATAAATGACATTTTTCTAATAACATTAAATGCCATAAGAATGACATTTCTCAATAAAGTTATGTCATTCTCATATTTGAAAATAATCAAAATTAACAAATTAATGAAAAATTCAAATTCAAATGATGCAGCTGTTTGTCATTCGTTCAAACTTAGCTCCTAATTTCATATTTTTAGATGCCAATTTAATCTAGAATCTTAAAAGTTCACAAATTAGAAGAAGATAAGGAGGAGGAGAAGTAGGAGAAAGAAAGAAGAAGAAAAGGAAGAAGAAGAGATTACTTGGGAAATTGCAGAAGAAGAAAAGAAGGAGAAGAGGAGAGAAAGGAGATGGAGAAAATTAACCTGCATCATCGAACAAATTAGAAGGTACGTGCGGTCGCCGAAGATTGGAGAAGACTGGCGGCGGCGTGGTATCCACGAGTGGCGGCTTTTCGAAAGATCGGGTGGTTTCGGGATTTGTCACGCCCAGACCGCATCTAAGCGCGTGTACAACCGCCGTATGATCAAGCGACGTCACTCGCAAGTAAACTTCACTTAATCATACAAGGCGTTAGAGAAAATAATCCATCCATACTCAGTAGTAAACATACATATTAACATCACATTTAACCAATGAATAGCGGAAATATTCAACGGTAAATCATACGCCACAACCGGCCAAGACATGGGCATGCAAACCCAAAAATAGTTTATAACAAATTAAATATCCATGAGCAAGTGTTTGGTAGTTTGAAAGGAAATAAGGAAGCACAAACCACGTCTTCCTTGAGTTGACTTCACCCGTAAGAAGGTGCAGGTAGCAAGCCCTAGCTTTAACCTGAAAAAAATGGTGGGGCACTAAGGCCCCCCGAAGGGGTCAGTACAAGTACTGAGCGAGTAGTAGGCTAAATGAAACATAACTAATGTTTCAAGTATAAGACCTAAACGTAGGGTGATACATATACTTATGTACCTTTCCCCCCAAGTCTTGAAATACATATTAGTATATATACTTGGAAAATACTTAACCTGTGGGTTATCATTTATTTGGGAAAAATTTAGTAGTCAAGTCCTTGACTAAAAATCCCAACCCGCCCATATACCTATGAGTGTATATGACTCCTCCTTGTCCACAATTTTAATCAAAATATATGAGTTTTAAGGACAACAAAATCCTTGGTACTCCACCAATATACATATGAGTTTTGAGGA